GGGTCACGTTCCCAGGGAAGCTTGTGGACATTTCCTCCCCTGCATCCTCCCTCCCGGCTCATCCCCCTCCTCCAGAGGCTCCTCCTCGCTGTGGGGACAGCTCAGAGGCCGGATCCATGCACTGACCGTATATTCCTGCAGTTTGTCATCTTTGGGCTCAGTTTCCCTCTGTTCCATTTGCGTGAATCCCCAGGTTGGGGGCTGTGGCTGGGAGTTATCTGGGTTTTTTGGTGTTACTGGGAATCTCTGATTAATTAAAGCAGCTACAGGGGCGAGGTGGGAATGGGCAAATCTTGGCTCTCCTCTCCCTGCTCCAATGGCTTGCCCGGGTTTTGTGTCCCTGGATCTGCTGTGCTCAGTGAAATGCTGGACTGGGGGGAAACTGAGGCAGCCCTTCAGAGAGGTGGGATGTGGGATGGTGTGGGGGGAAACTGAGGCTGGGATCAGGGGATGCTGCCTGTCAGCTGCATGGATTGACCCTGGCATCAGGGGGGTGACCCAACCCAAATCCCCCTAACTCTGCCCATTTTTGTCTCTTTCTTTCCCCACTGCCAAAATCCCTTATCTTAGCCCATTTCTTATTTTTTCCTTCCCCTGTGCCAAAATCCCTTATCTTTGCCCATTTTTTACCTCTTTCCTTCCCCGGTGCCAAAATTCACTTAACTCTGCCCATTTTTACCTCTTTTCTTTCCCTGCTGACAAAACCCCCTAAACTCTGCCCAATTTTTACTCTTCCCCAGTGCCCAAAATCCACTTAACTCTGCCCATTTCTGCCCCTCCCCTTCCTCACTGCCAGCTCTTTGGACAGGACCGCTTTGTCCCTTGTCCCTCCACTTTAATTAAAAGACTCTAATTAATTAGGCAGCGAGCTCCACTGGGGGAAGGAGGATGATCCACAAGGGATGTGCATCCTTTGAGGCCTGTGCTGGTGGTGTGGGGCAGGATTCAGCCTTGGAATGACAGGGTTATCCCTGGGCTGAGCTGGTGCTGGGGGCTGGCCTTGGCCTGATCCAAAGGTCAGGCTCTGGGCAGGATCCAGGCCCTGGAGCCAGGGTGGGAGGCTGGAATGGGCTCCCAGCCTCTGGAGGGACCCACAGTGCTGCAGCTGGGATGCACCAGCAGCTCCCTGGGGATGGGGTGGGCACGGAGGGAGAGGATGGATCTGGAGCCTGTGCATCCAGGGAAATCCCTGGGATTTGTGTGCATGCCCAGTCCCAGAGTGCAGGGATACACATACAGGGGGTATGGAGACAGGGACGCTCACTAAGGGAATCTAGGGGGAATATGGCAGCATTTTTTGCCTGATGGACCAGTTTAGGTTTAGTTTTTTATCTTCTCTGATCGTGGGCTGGAAAGTGCTATGAAACCATTGAGCATTGTAATTAAAATGGGTTAATGAGGAACCTCCTGGAGCGTTGGCTGGTGCTGCCTTGGGGACATTGGCAGGTCCCCAAGATGAGGCTGTGGCACCTAGTGGCATTTCTAAATAATTAATGTTATTAAGGGAAGGGATCCCTGGTGCAGGGATGCACACATGGGGTATGGAGAGGCCCTGGTGCAGGGATGGATTCTCAGAGATGCGCTGGGCAGCCTGCCTGCACCCTGCCTGCATCTGTGCACAGATTCCTGGGCTTTTCCATGGAAAATCACATGCCTGCAAAGCCCCTGGGAGGAGGTGGCCTCCTTCTTCCATCTGCTCTTGCCAGGGAAGCAGCAGGTCGGCCTCCCTGTGATGTAACCTCCAGGTAA